GTGGTTATTGTCCGATTTTGCCCATTTTCAATACCATCCGTCCTACGCCCGAAAGAAGTGCACATACCATGTTTCGTTAAGATATCTCAAGTTTTACTCCAGTTATCGTGTGCACAGACGGACGGACGGACAGACAGTCACCGCTTAATCGATTTCTCTGTTCATCCTGATCATTTATGTATACATTTGTCTATATCTATCTCGATTCGTTTTGCCTGTTACAAACAACCGTTGTGTGGAAGCTAACAAATACTCTGCAAAAATCGTTGGACCATGTAGTCTATTTGTGGTATATTGGAGTACTTACAAAAGTGTTCCTCTGTCATGCTGTAGCGGTCCAACTCGTGTCTCTGCACCACCTTACTGTTACTCGATCACTGCTCATGTTTGAACTTAATGTCATTGAAGTTGAGCATTTGAAAGCACAGATGCATGTCTGGCTGTAGCTGAACGTTTAGAGATGCTCGCTGTTATTTGTTAGCTCCCAGCATGTTCGAGTTCGAATGCCGTCAGAGGTAACATGTAATTTTTTATTTTTGTTTTTGGTTTTTATTAATTGCGAAAAAGCATCTGTGAAGTGAAGAATAAAGCGTGTACAAGCGAAAAATATATCAACAATGCCATTGTTAATATGTTGGAGTAGTTTTGTGTTACTTTGGACCATATTTTTTATATGAATTGTGGTTAATTTTGGAGTACTCCTTGGCCCTTAGGAAGTACTCTTCACGTTTAGCTACACGCAGACACACAAATGTGCTTTCAAATGTTCAACTCCTCACGATGGGTAAAAATAAGCAGGTGCAGAAACACGAGTTGCTCCGCTACAGCATTTACAGAGGAGCACTTTGTAAGTACTCCAATATGCCACAAATAGACTACATGGTCCAACAATTTTGGCAGGGGTGTACATTAGGGTGTCCATCGAAAATGTTTTTTTTTTTGAAATATCAAGACCGTACCCCGTAGTTTTTTTTGTTTTTATGGGAAATATTATTTCCCATTTTTATACCAAATTTGGTCGAGTTCGGTCAAGTAGTTTTTGAGATACACATATATATTTTCCAAAAATTATTGGAAAAACCAATTTTTTGCTGAAGAGCGATTGTATATATCAATTTTGAATAAATATTGATGAATTCCTTAGCCACACTGTTCAAAAAATCTGAAAGTCCGGTACATACACAATATAAATTCAAGGCCGTATTCAAGGAAAGTCGTCTAACTTCGACAATTTTTTATGTGATTGCAATAAATGAGCTATCAGTTTATTTCAAAATAGATTTAATTTTAGATAGTACTACACATTTTGAAATTGTTGAAATTATCGGTGCTCAAAATTTAAAAAAATTATGAGGAACTAGCTTATACCCGAGGGTTTCACCCCACGTTTTTATACAAATATGGAAAATAATTAATGATGTGATATGTTATTTCTGTGCCCATTTCGTTATAGGTGTTAAGGTATTTAGGCCGTATAAAACTATAAAATTATAAAATTTCGGCTGCGCGCTAAGCATACGAAAGATATCAATCCCTCTAAGTTTACCTTAAAATGGTTCCACCTTCTTGGAGGTGCCACGGCGGGTTCTAATATTTCCATCTCAAATTTAGTAACCTGGCCTTGACAAAATACCACATCTCATTACTGTACACGGAACGGAAAACGTACATAAAGTTAATGTATTTGGACGTTAATATTAATGAAAGTAATAGTTGATTTTGTGCCAAAGAACATGTTCATTAAAATTTAATGAACGGCGTTCATAGACCCGAATGTTTATGAACGAATGTTATGAATATGAATGAAACTAATGAACATGTTCATAAAAATTTAATGAATAGGTTCATAAAATATTATGAATTTTTTTCATAGATTTTATGAATTTATTTGTAGGTTTATATGAATTTTTCATAGATCTCAATGAAGATATTCATTATTTTTATGGACTTATTCATGAATTTGCAAAAAGAAAACAGCACAAAATTTTTTTGGTAAATTTTTTTGGTACATTTTATTAAAATCAATTCATTAAAAAAACAGTATTCAATAACATTTCAATACAAAAAATAAAATTTTGCAAGTTTCATATGAATAAAATGCCAAACATCCTTTCGAAAAAAAATTCCCAAAAATCAGAAACTCAAGATTTTTACATTCTTATACTAGAATTGAGTAGGCTACAAAACTGGGTACTCAAATAATTTCTTAAAATTCTAAACAAAAATTTCAAAACTTTTGGATAATTTTTCAAAAATGTATTTTTTTTTAATTTTGAAAAAAGTTCCTTAAATTGATTTTAGCGGTTTTTATTGTGGAATTGTATAAAGTCTTTTTTAAATAACGAAAATAGGCAAAATTAAGAGAATTAGCTGAGACTTGTCTTAACATTTTGCTCCTATTTCATTGTGGATAGCTGTATGTATAGTATTGAGCAAAATGAACACTTTAAATAAGTCTTATTTTTGACTAGGTAGCAAATTCAAATTAGATTAAAAAAATGAGTAAAATAAATTAAATAACCACTTCACTCTTCCAGCTCTTGTATCAAGATATTAATTTTGGGTGTTGTTTTCCCGCGCGACCTAGAAAATTTATAAAAATATGCTTCAATGAGTGTCCAAAAATTGGAACTTGCTGTAGGGTATTCAACATTAAATAAGTGAAACGATTTAAAGCATACATCAACGCATCGATAAAAGTTTGTAAATCGCATCTTGGTATCGTCCAAATATAAAAAAAATTCGTCGAATTTTGAAAATTTTTTTTCGCCTAACACTAAAATTAGAGGCTGAATGCTCTCACCGCGTTGCTTCAAAAATTCAATATAATTGTCGAGTTCTTGTAGAGTTTGTCCCACAAACGTAAATGATTCTTGAGAATCTTTGATCGTAAACCTGCAGGTATCTTTCTTGCCAGCGTTGGTTTTTCTAAAAACTTTGATCGTAGGATAGAGATATCCGTGAAGGCACCACAAAGTTTTAAAAATAAATTGAGTTTCATCTGAAAAAAAAAAACATTGAAGATTTAGTTCAATTCAAATTTAGTTTTTATCTTATTTTTATAATCATACCTTCTTCCAAATCTTCCTCCGAAACTGAATTTATTACAAATTTTGTTGAGCTGTCTTTTAAAATACCAGGCTTCTTAAGATGAAGGAACAACCGTAAAATTTCTTGTTTGCAGCTAAGAAAATTGCGGGTATTTGGCAACATTTTTCCGAAATCAAGGTCAATCTGGAATAACAATTTTAATTTTATTTACTTTATACGAAAAATCAAAACCTATGTCTTCAGATTTACCAGACGATATCCATCAGCTTTTTTATATTCTGGCCATTCCCGAAATATTTGGTGGATGTTTTGAAGTTTTTGCTGGATTACATTGATTCTATAATTCGCACAGGCTTGCCATGTGCTATAAAATTCTTCCGCACTGAGGTTATCGTACTTAATCCGCTGGACAATTTCTTCGGCGCCGATTTCTGGAACTTAAAATGCAAAGATAAGTAGGCTTGTACACTTACGGTCAAAAAATGTAAAAAAGTGTAAAATGTAAAACTGTTCATATTTTGATTTTATTTCTTTGACCGTTAGTGTATCTACACTTACGGTCAATAAAATTGAATCGAAATGTAAACATAGGTTCCAGATAAATTTCGTCATTGTATTTATTCTAGTGTATGTTTTAAAAAAATTTCTAGTATAAAGGACATACCAATTTCTGCCATTTCTTCCAACTCTGGAGATATTGGTCGAATTTTTTTAGCATCCAAACTGTGGCTTTTGAGGTTTTTTTTTGTGTTGCAAAATTTCGTATACAATTTCCCCCTCTTTTATGTTCTGTAGAGACTTAGTTTTTCATTTGGAAAAATTTCCAAAATTTCTTTTTCTAAGCAGTGGCTGGTCTTTGTTGATGAAATAGTTGACAATGGTATTGATAAGCATGTTGCGANAAAAAAGTTGTATGAAAAGTTTATTATGTGATTCAATTTTGCTGTCCAAAAAACATATATATAGATCATTTATTTCGAAGGCTAAGATGTTGTCAATAATTTCAATCAATAATAACACAAAATGCCAAACTTCGTCTTCGTGTGGCACCATATCGCCAATCATAATTGGGAAATTCAAAACAAATGTCAACATTTCCGCTGCAGAAAATTTCAAGTGACTTTTTTTTAAATGTTGAGCAGTTATCTGGGGAGGTATATTTTTACAATCTTGCTTTCCATATTCAAAAGTTTTTATTCTTCTGTTTAATGCAGATAAACTGAAGAATTTCATTTTTTNATGTATAAAAATAGAAAGTAAATTTCTCAAACTGTGTAATTTTCTCTGAGTCGGACGAAATGTAGTCCTCGTGCTGATTTTATAAGTGTAACTGGTGGTCCAACTAATTCTGAAGATATAAAAGTAAAATATTCACCAAGAAGACTTGGATCGATTTCAAAAGCCATG